TCTCTCCCTCTCTCTCAGCCCCTCCCCGGCTTATGCTCTCACTCCCTCTGAAAATAAATAATTTTTTTTTTAAAGATAGAACTTCTAATAAAACAATAATAAAAGTATCTGTATTTTACACCTAATAGATGCTAAATTTAGTTGACCATGGCCTGACTTTTTTCATGGCAGCTATAATGTCCTATAGCCTCAGGCTTTATATAATGAACACATCCATTTTTATGACCAGGTTTTTTGTTTTTTGTTTTTGGTAAATTTATTGATTTTCTTTGAGAGAGACAGAAAGAACTTGGGCCCAGAAGAGGGACAGAGAGAGAGAGAGAGAGAGAGAGAGAGAGAGAGAGAGAGGGAAAGAGAGAATCCGAAGCAGGCTCCACACTGTCAGCACAGACCCTGATGCAGGGCTCGATCTCATAAACTGTGAGATCATGGCCTGAGCCGAAATCAAGAGTCGGACACTCAACCAACTGAGCCACCCATGTGCCCCATAACCAGGTGTTTTTGTTTTCTTTTTTAAACTTTTGAGAATACTTTTAGACTTACAGAAAAGTTGCACTGACTCAGTTTTTTAATATTTTAATATCTTACCTTCCTATGGTATACCTGTCACAAACAAGGAGGCAACATTTTTCCTAACGTCCCTTTGCTGTTCTGGGCCCATCCAGGATACCCCATTACATGTAGTCACTAAGCACACCCCACACCCAGGGAAAGGAGCTCCCTCTGCTTAAGGGGAGATATCTACACAAACTATTTGGAATTCTTCTGTACAGTATATTTACCTCTTCTCCCTACTTACTTAGTTATTCGATTATTCTTTCATATCAATATGGACTCATGGATATTTATTTTATGCCTTGGATTATAATCCAGTATTTATTACTCAAATTGTCCCAGGTTTGGCCACTCAGAGCTCTTTTAGGTTGGCTCGTGTCCCTTTTAAGTGGCCCCAATGTTTTGTTTTGGAGCACTTCCTTACCTTCTGTTAATTCAAGATGCTCCAGGCCCATGTTGCGCCTTCCCTGCCCCAGCCCTAGAATCAGCCATATTTCCACACAGCCTGGTTTCTTTATCACGACTAGCTTTCAAACAACCCCAATGCGAAAAGAAAGCTAAACTCCAATGAGCAGAAGCACATCATTTCCAGTTCCTTTTGACAGCAGAGCTCCGTCCTGTCACAAAATGTGCTGCTGGTGGGCTAGCCCATGGACAGCACCACTGACAAAACTGTTCTGACCAGCTTTTAAAAATTCAAGATGCCTGGGCCATGCATGCACCTGGGGACTCGGACTGAGGAGGTCTGAGATAATGAGCAGACCCTTTAAGTTCCATAGGTGACGATGACGAGCAAACTGGCTTGCAGACAACATAAACTGGCAGCTTTAAAATGTTTAACCTACTGATGAATGGATAAAGAAATTGTGGTTTATATACACAATGGAATACTACGTGGCAATGAGAAAGAATGAAATATGGCCCTTTGTAGCAACGTGGATGGAACTGGAGAGTGTGATGCTAAGTGAAATAAGCCATACAGAGAAAGACAGATACCATATGTTTTCACTCTTATGTGGATCCTGAGAAACTTAACAGAAACCCATGGGGGAGGGGAAGGAAAAAAAAAAAAGAGGTTAGAGTGGGAGAGAGCCAAAGCATAAGAGACTCTTAAAAACTGAGAACAAACTGAGGGCTGATGGGGGGTGGGAGGGAGGGGAGGGTGGGTGATGGGTATTGAGGAGGGCACCTTTTGGGATGAGCACTGGGTGTTGTATGGAAACCAATTTGACAATAAATTTCATATATTGAAAAAAATAATAAAACTCAACACCCAAAAAACAAATAATCCAATTTAAAAATGGTCAGAAGACAGGAACAGACATTTTTCCAAAGAAGACATCCAGATGACACATGAAGATGCTTAACATTACTCATCCTCAGGGAAATGCATATCAAAACTACAATGAGATATCGCCTCACACCTGTCAGAATGGCTGAAATCAACAACACAAGAAACAACCGATGCTGGGAAGGACATGGAGAAAAAGGAATTCTTGTGTACTCTTGGTAGAAATGCAAACTGGTGCAGCTGCTGTGGAAAACAGTGTGGAGATTCCTCAAAAAGTAAAAATAAGACCACCCTACAATCCAGCAATTGTACTATTGGGTATTTGCCCAAAGAATACAAAACTACTATTTCAAAGGGATACATGCACCTCAATGTTTATAGGAGCATTATTTACAATAGCCAAATTATGGAAGCAGCTCAGCCCCATCAACTAAAGAATGGATAAAGAAGGTAGATAGATAGATAGATAGATAGATAGATGTAATGAAATATTATTCAGCCATAAAAAAAGAATGAAAGCTCGGCATTTGCAACAACATGGATGGATCCAGAGAGTATAATACTAAGTGAAATAAGTCAGCTAAAGAAAGACAAATACAATATGATTTCACGCATATGTGGATCTTAAGAAACAAAACAGTGAACAAGGAGAAAAAAGAGAGAGAGAGAGAAACAAACCAAGAAACACTCTTAATTATAGAGAACAAACTGATGGTTACCAGAGAAGAGGTAGGTGGGGGGATGGGTGAAATAGGTGAGGGGGATTAAGGAGTACACCGGCCATAATGAGCACCAGACGATGTATGGTATTGTAGAATCACTATGTTGTACACCTGAAACTATTATAATATTGTATATTAACTAGAATTAAAATGACATTTTTTAATTAAAAAATAAAAATTCAACCTACTTCAAAAAAAATTTTTTTAAATAAAATAAATAAAATGTTTAACCTTTAATAACCTGTCATTTATCGAGCAACTACTATAGGCTGCATATATGATCTTATGTCATCACCACAATGCTAGAAATTGAAGTTATAATCCAGTGTCAACAAAGGTTGAGTAATTTGCTCAAGGTCACAGAACCGGTGCGTCCATTTTGACCCGGTTTTAATCAAAGTCGCAGCTTGTGCACAATTCTCTGTCCTGTTGCTTGCCACTTAAACGTGTTTCTACAACGTGGCTTGTAAAGGCAAGCGGCACTTCCTCTCCATAGTTTGCTAGCCATTGGCAACAGTTCACTTTCCACATTTCACGGCCATTTATCCTTTTCCACAGTAGCTGAAATAATGCATTGTGTACAATTGAGTAGCCAAATAAAATTACCCCAGACTTTGATAAACTTGCTATTAAAGGCTATTTAGTGGAAAGAAGGAAAGCTAAAATAAGACAGAAAGGAGGAGCACTGGGTAGCTCAGTTGGTTAAGTGTCTGAGTTTCAGCTCAAGTCATGATTTCACTGTTCGCGGGTTTGAGCCCTGCATCGGGCTCCGTGCTATCAGCAAGGTCCTGCTTGGTATTCACTTCCCCTCTCTCATGTGCTCTGTCTCTCTCTCTCTCTCTCTCTCAAAAATGAATAAATAAACGTAAAAAGATAGAGAGAGAGAATGGAGAGAGGAATTTGGCTTAAGGTCATCCTAAGAGCAAGGCAAATTTGAGACCCTTAATCATGAATGAAGTTGTAAAATAATGATGTGGATTTTAAGCTTTTTAAATTCCCTACGACAGCAAACAGAAGGGGGTGACAGAATCACGAAGCAAAATCATTTTGTTTTCATCTCTCTGTCTGCTGCCTTTATTAATAATACTTCTATATTTCTTTCCCTTTTCTCTCAGTCTCCTCTAACCAAAATGTTATCTGCATTGAGTTTTACATTATAGATAATACTGAATTGTAAAATTGAAATGCCTTTGAATGTATCCAGCCCAGGGGTTTTCCAACCCTTTTGAGATCAGTGGGGATTTCCCTGTTTCTCAAGATGGAGGACGGGAAGGGAGAGGCAGCTACGTGCGGCCCTGCCCTCCCTTCGAGGAGTCCCCACAAACCCCAGGATAGGACCCACTGTACCAGACAACCAACACAGCCTCGAGAGACCCACGTCGACTGGATGGGGGCCCCCAAGTGCTCCTTTCCATCGGATCTGAGAAGGTCATGCACAGGCCATTTGTGGGCATTAAGGACAAGGAACTGGGCTCTTCTCCCTCCAGGACAGCATGGCTCCAACTAACCCTAGGGTTTGTAATTTGTACCCAGTGCTGATATGTACACAGTATTGCTGCACTTGAAAGAAAAAAGAAAAGAAAAAAGAAAAGAAAAGGAAAGAAAAGAAAAGAAAAGAAAAGAAAAGAGAAAAGAAAGAAAAAGGAAGAAAGAAAAGAAAGAGAAAGAAAGAAAGAAAGAAAGAAAGAAAAAAAGAAAGAAAGAAAGAGAAAGAAAAAGAGAGAAAAAGGAAAGAAGGAAGGGAGGAAGGAAGAGATTTTTTGTTGTTACATGGTTCTTGATTTATGTATTTTCCCCCCTGCTTGTTATTAGACTATAATTTTTTGAATTCCCACCCCTGTATCCCTGTACCCCTGAAGAAACCCCATCAGAAAATTTAACAATGCTCGTTTTGAGACAATTGAGGGCTGCATGTGTTTTCTCAAAGCTTGATAAACCTTTAGAAGTTGTTGGACAGAATGGGGAGGCCCTATCCAGACCAAGTGAATCAGGATTCCTGCTGAGGATTGTGCGGTCACAAACTCCTTCCCCAGGGGACATTTATACATGCTAAAGTTTGACCTCAACTGATTGAGAGTTTAGATACAATTCTGTGAAATAATGGATGTGGATCTGCTTGGTACCAGTTTGCTCCTTAATGGGCAATTCTTTTAAAAAATGCTACGCAAAAAATTCCATATATATGATCAATATCAAATTCAGATAACCTACCTTTAAAAATGACACAACACACCCGGGGAGACCAGAAAGTAAGGTCACCTGATGCACATTCATGTAGGGTTCCTGTGGATCTGCAGCGAGTATATTTGCTAACTCACAGCGGCATGCTGTCTAGTCAATAATTAGCAGCCTGTTAGGAATCCTATAATCGCAGCACACAATTGTGACAGTATTCAATGCTCATTATGTGTTAGAACATTTATCCCACTCACCTTTTCTCATCGATGTATCCGAGAGAAGGCAGTTTTAACAAAAAGCCGATCTTACGGACTTGAACAAACAAATAGTTGAACAGTTCAGAGTGAAGATGAATAATTTCAGCCTCCGGATCCTGAAAAACTGGAAGGTGAGCTCTCCAAGATGAAATAATTAATGATTTTTGGAGGAGCCCATTGCAAAGATACCCAAATATTGCAAAACATGCCATCTGTGTTCTTCTTCCCTTTGCTACAACACCCTCTGTGCTCCAACAAAAATAAAATAAATGAATAGACTTGATGTTGCACCTGATACGAAGTTCTGACTCAGCCCCATTGTTCCAAATGTTAATACCTGATAAAGAGACATAAAATAGAGTTCATTAAAAGTCTATTCAGTATAGTATAATACAAAGTATAAACTGAAAGACGTTTATTTTATTCTTTGCGTGGTTTGTCATATTGTGGTTCAATAGTATAAAGTTGCATTTGTATAAGTTATTGTCAGCAATGGCGTATATTAAAGGCACATAAATTTTCAATAATAAAAAGAAGATCCAGTAGAACTTGAGCAAAAGATTTGAACAGACCTCTCGCCAAAGAAATAAAGAGAGGCAAACGTGTTCAACATCGCTAGCCAGGAAAGACATATGAACTAAGACCAAATGAGATACTACTATGTACCCATTAGAATGGCGAAAAAAAAGTTTTTTAAATTGACTTTATTATATGCTAGACCTCAAGTCTGGACTTGTATTAAAAAATGCCTGACGTTACTAGGTGTTGGTGAGGATGTGGGGAAGTTGGAATTCTCATTCACTGCTTAACACGACGGAACTTTATTCTCTTACAGATCTGCAGGCCAGAAGTCCAATGTCAAGGTGCAGGCAGGACGGCTCTCCCTCGGGAGGCTCTGGCAGAGAATCCTTCATCTTCCAGCTTCTGGTGGCTTCCAGCTTCTGGTGTTCCCTGGCTTGTGGCTGCCTCTCTCTTGGTGCTCTCCTCCATGGGTCTACCTCTAAACGCCCCCCCGCCCCTCCCTTATGAAGACATAGGAGTTGGCCCTCAGGGCCCATCCACATAACCCAGGACAAAGTCCTCCTCTTGATCCTTAACCCAATCACATCTTTTGCCACATGAAGTAATTTTCGCAGGTTCTTGAGCCCACTACACAACCCAAATGTCCATGAACTGGCGAATGGAGAAACAGATGGTGATATATACGTGCCATGGAATATTACCCAGCCATAAAAAAGAACTAACTCTTGGGGCGCCTGGGTGGCGCAGTTGGTTAAGCGTCCGACTTCAGCCAGGTCACGATCTCGCGGTCCGTGAGTTCGAGCCCCGCGTCAGGCTCTGGGCTGATGGCTCAGAGCCTGGAGCCTGTTTCCGATTCTGTGTCTTCCTCTCTCTCTGCCCCTCCCCTGTTCATGCTCTGTCTCTCTCTGTCCCAAAAATAAAATAAAACGTTGAAAAAAAAAATTAAAAAAAAAAAAGAACTAACTCTTGATAAATGCCATCACATGGATGCATTTCAAAAGCACTCTGCTAAGTGAACGGAGCCAGATTCAAAAGGCTATAAACGGTACGCTTCCATTTATCTGATATTCTGCAAAAGGCAACGCTGTAGGGATTGAAACCTGATCAGTGGTTGCCAAGAGCTGGAGACGTATGAAGGGGCTTGACTTCCAAGGGACACAGAGAACTTTTAGGGGTGATGGACATGTTACATATATTGCTTATGGTGCTGGTTATGTGACTACACACATTTCAAAACTCATGAAACCATGCATTTAAAATGGGTGAATTTTATGTTATATAAAGTTGACCTCAATAAACCCACTTTTAAAAGGCCTATCTGTGAAATTTTGATAATTTCTTGCGTTTAATCTGTGATTTTTTTTCAGCTCCCGATAATGTTGTGACAGTGTGTTATAATTTTTCACGTTGTTCTGCAGTTTTGTTTTGTTTTTCAAGTCTGGAAAATTTCCTTCCCTCCTCCGGTGTCTCCTCCTTAGAAAACATTATTGGCCACTGTGATGAAGGTAAGTAAGAAGAATTCTATACCAAGATCACATCTCTCAAGTGACACGGAAACCCTCTGTTTCTGGAATGTCTTGTAACTCCCCCAGTCCTGGGCATTTCTTCCCCAGACACCACGTCCATCTGGTTTATTTATGGGCCCTCCTCTCTCTCCATCTAGATCCCTACTCCACAGTGACACCAAAATTACCTTCCCAAGAACCAAATCTGATCATGTAATTTTTAGGCTTAAGAATAATTTTTGCTCTCTTTCCCCCTGTAAAGTAAATCCATATGCTATGCCAGTTAGAACTCTTTTTTTTTTTTTTAATTTTTTTTTTCAACGTTTATTTTTATTTTTGGGACAGAGAGAGACAGAGCATGAATGGGGGAGGGGCAGACAGAGAGGGAGACACAGAATCGGAAACAGGCTCCAGGCTCTGAGCCATCAGCCCAGAGCCCGACGCGGGGCTCGAACTCACGGACCGCGAGGTCGTGACCTGGCTGAAGTCGGACGCTTAACCGACTGCGCCACCCAGGCGCCCCAAGAACTCTTAATAATAGCCTCTTAGACTCATCTTCCAACCTCATCATCCGCCACCTTCCATAACGTACCCTCTGTGCTTCTAGCGTCTGAACCTCTTACTCCTGTATACACTGCATTTCACATTTCCGTATTTTTGCTTATATTCTTTCTGGTTCCCCGTATTTCGTCCCGGCCGCTCACCTCATCAGATGCTGACTGGCTTGGGCCTCAGGCCACTACCCATCTGTGAACCAATCATTGTGGCAAAGGGATGAGGGTCCTCTGATGGTTTGTACCAGCGACTGTCGATGCCACTGCACGTGAGCGTCACCCCACACTCCAGGGATTGCCATCCAGTTGCTATTGGAGTTTCTGGGCATCAGAGATCCTTCCCAGGAGATTCTAATGTATAGCCAGGCTTGTGAACCACTGGTTTGGGCCAACCCAAAACAGTTATAAGAGGCTGCCACTCATCGGGGCAGGTGTGGCTGGATATCCAGAAGGTAGCCACGATGCCACCTACCAGCAGCACACTGAGTTGCACGGCTGTGCTCTGTTGATGTGGCAAATGCCTCCTGAGGAGTGCTACCCTGAATTCGGTAACACTTTAAAATAATTTTTTTAACGTTTATTCATTTTTGAGAGACAGAGACAGGGCTTGAGCAGGGGAGGGGCAGAGAGAGACGGAAACAGGGAATCTGAAGCAGGCTCCAGGCTCTTAGCTGTCAGCACAGAGCCCGATGCGGGGCTCAAACCCACGAAACCGCGAGATCACGACCTGAGCCACAGTCCAACACTTAACCCACAGAGCCAGCCAGGTGCCCCTAAAATAATTTATTAGTCTGAACCCCTCCATAAATTTGAAAACAGCACTATTTTCTGGACATTCATTTGGTTTCATTTACAGGTAATGTTTGGTGAGCATATGCATCCGGGGATTACCTGTCAACAGTTCCTGTGGCCTTTGTCCATTGGATGGGAACCCCTACCTTCATGCACCAGATGCCAGCTTTCATAGGCCTCCTGTAGGGATAAGGGACCTGACGGTCAAGGTAGGTATATGGGTCATCAATAGAGATGAAGAGGACTAGGCACTTCCCCTGCCCTCCCCGCAACACACACACACACACACACACACACACACACACACACACACACACA